CGCGGTACGCAGCGGCCGGCACGAGAACCAGCAGGACCGGCAGCGGCCGGGCACCGACCCGGAAGCTCTTCCGCCGCCTACCGCGAGGCTGCACCGGGTGTGAACCCGGAAGCAATTTCTTCACCCCGGTAGCGGAGGGATTGAAAGTTAAGGCCTTTGAAAACCTGTTTTCGGGAGAGGGTGAGGGGTGAGTGGTGGAGAGGTGCGAAGAAAGGAAAAGATATTAAAAAGCTGTTGGGAAAGAGATTCTCGGCCTCCAGAGACCCAGGCTTTCAAGGCGCGGGTGGGAAGTGCGGCGGAACTCGAGGGGCGGCTTCGGGTGGGTTTTCCTGTCACAGGAAGCTGGGCCAGGCCGCTGTGCCTGTGAGAAGGAGGGAGGAATGAGAAGGCGGTGACCGCGCCCCGTCCCCCAGGTGACTCTCAACCAGTGGGTTGAATGCAGTGGCCTGAGGGGCACTCGGCCGCCCGCACGGCTGAGACCGCTCTGATTCCTTTGGGGAAACGAGGAGAAGCAAGATCCTGACTCCGGCAAGAACAGAGGTGGGAGACTGAATCCTTTCTATAGCTAGTTTTTCCTGGCAAAGTTGTTACTCTTATTATTATTATTTTAAGTATCTTAAAGCCAGAGCGTGGTTTTGGGTGGAAACATTTTGAACAGAGGCGTGCGCGTACCCTGGGAGTTGACGTCGATGGGTAGTGGCGGAAGAAAAACACCTTCCTGGCTATGCTTTTGTCATCATAGGGAAAGCGATCACAGCTTGCCGTTATAGCTTACTTACTCCCAATACACCTTTACCCATCTTTTAAGATTTTTAGCTATCTTTCTTTGCCTTTCTCTATTGCGTTTTTAGTTTCACCAGAAGTCTATTTATAGCTGGTCGAACTCAGGATCTCTTCCTTTCTCACGCTCTTGGAGAACTTAACGGCCTTTACAGTTTCTGTTTGCAAACAGACTTTCTAGCATATTAAAAGGGTATTAATAAACCCGCCCCATGGACACTAAATAACTACACCTTGCCTCCCACGGTCACAGTGACAACCAGAAAAGCCACTACATCCAATATTTTTCCAAATGATAGCAGGTGGGTACTACCCAGAATTGAGAACCACCTTCACTTCTTTTATAAGGCCTCCTTGCTTAGGCAGCAGGTTGTCATTTATGTCTAAGCACTTTCCAGAATAGAGGGAACCATATAGCAAAATACTACATATGCCTTGCTTAGTCACCTGAACCCTTACCTAAAACTCAGCCTAAACCTACTGCAAACTAGTTACACCTTTCTCTTATTTTTAGACCCAATTGCTCTTTTTCTGTACATTGTATGTGTTTGTTTTAGCAGTTTTCTGTCCCTATTACTAGTAGCTTTTGTTATTTTACTGGCTTAAGCCTTTGTTTCTTTATTTCATGTCACTAGAAGAATATGTTTCAAATAGTCAAAGATGAATATTTCCTGAAAATCAATTTTAAGAATCTTTTGGGAATGTGTTAAATGGTTTAAAAACAAAATACTGTAATTCTCATAATTATTTTTTTAAATCATGTCATATTTGTTTACTTTTAAAAGTTGAAAGTTCTGGGGACCAGCAGTTAGCGTTATGGCTATGTCGCTGGACTCCCACTTATTTGACTGTGGTTCGCGTCCTGATGGCTTAAAACTCAACGCCTGTCACGCGTGTGTGCGTGCCCAAGATCCCGAGAGCAGAGTGGAAGAGAAGGGATTGCGGCGTGACCATCCCCCCTGGGGGGTGATTTCTCGCTTTCTGTCTCTATGTCTCTCTGTCTGTCTGGCGAGCACACGCGCCCTATAGCGAAAACCTCTCCAAAAAAAAAAAAAAAAATTGAAAGTTCTAAGCAGTACTAATATTCTAGAGAAGTGATAAGCATTAACAAATAAAGAACTTTGCTAGAAGATGCTTTCTTAACATGAGTTGATCAAAATGAATTGATTTGCTTTAAATTGTTTAGAAAAGTAAAAATTACTTGATTTCTCTTTTAGGTACTTAATAGAGAAAAATTGTTTCTATAATTATGTAGAAAGGTCATCAAAGAGTTCATGGAAAGTCATGTTATGAAAAAACTATGGTTACAAATATTTATGAACCATAATAAGCTCATACTTTAAATTCCATTTTTGCACTACCTTATCTTTCTTTTGGGAACTTGCAGTGTTCAAGGAGATACCCATAAATATCATGATTTGTAAAATTTTATCTTGAAGTCATGGTTAATCAGAGATGAAGAGTAATTGTCACAGAAATTTTGGGAAGAAAAATATCTCATTCTTTTTATGTGATATAGAAAGCTCTGTTGCATGAGGTGGGTTTTAAGAGTGATTTTATGAAAAAATTGAACTGAAGAAAGTTCCATGAGGTATAGAAAGAGAATGATTGATATGTCCTTAGAACTTTTCACAAAGCAAAATGTCTCCATCTTACTGTCTTACTACAATTTCCCTAGTGAAATATCTGTAGTTTCTTTGAGCCTAAATCAATGAGCACTTCTAGAATTTTAAAACAAGTTTTTAAATTAATTTCTAAGGGACCGATGGTGGCACAGTTGTACCACAACCCTCTGTGATGCTGAACCCACATAGAAAGGCCCTGGTTTTGCTTCCCAAGGTCTCCCAGTATATATTGTGCCAATACCTTTGTGCTCATGATCCAGTCTGTCTGTCTTTCTCAGAAGATATAAATAAATAAACTTTTAAAATTTTAAATTATTTAAAATAAAATTTTGGAACAATAATTTTAATGATTGTTTTCACTTGGGCTGAAGTTTATTTAAAATGCTGAAAGTTACTGGGTTTTATAATACTTTATGGAAATTTCCTAATCATATGGCATTTGGTGTATTATTATTACAGTTAAGGTGCTATATTTGACACTTCAGTCAATGACAGACCACATACACATATATCAATCATACAGCTTAGGTGTGTATGGCCAGCTATACCATCTATGTTTGTTTAAATAAACTATATGCTTTTCCCACAATAACAAAAACAATTTTCTTGGAACATATCCTTGTCTGTAAATACATGACTATTTAGAAAAGTTAACTAAAGGTTTCAAAGTGACATTACCAATTGCAGTTGAAAAAACAATAAATTACTCTATTTCTTCTCAAAAGCCTCCAAACAATATAAATGTATGTTATATCCTTATTTTGTGTTATTATTTTGAATTACTATTTTAAATACTTAATTTACAAGATATTTTATAACCATATCACTGTTTTTAGGTCCCCAAAGGCAGATTCTTACTCTGTAGTTATGACATATGAAAATATATATCACAGTTTTTTTTAAACCTTTTAACAGAAAAGGAAAAGAGACTACAGAATTATCTTAAATTAAAAGCTAAGTAAGGTTTTAAGTAATTTTAAGTAATTCAAAGATATAATCAAAGTAATCTCTGGCTTACCTTTTAGCTACCATATAGTCTAAAAGAAAAATCAACTTTTTATTGTTTTTCGAAGTTTTTATGTAGAAATAAAATTTGTCAAGTTAATATGCAATACTTTATTTTCTGCCTTGCTACCAATTGTTTCATGTAATTTTTCAAGGGATTTTGTTTGTTTGTTTTTATAAAGCAATGGGAAATCCAGAAAACATAGAAGATGCATATGTTGCTGTTATACGTCCAAAGAATACTGCCAGTCTCAATTCTCGTGAATACAGAGCTAAGTCATATGAAGTGAGAAAATTTGATTTCTGTCATTCAATATCATTTCATATTATCTTTTACAAATAAGGTCTTTCTATGCCCTTTAAATTTATTGACAAACTAATTATTCTAGATCTCTGCCCATCACTGTAACTTTTTTCTGTTGTGTATCTTTAGACCATTTGCTATCATGTGCAGATTATTATATGTTAAAATTTACTTACTTGATTTTTCTTACAATTTATAGGTTTAGGTCTTAGTACAATTTATGGGGTGATTCTAAAAAAAGCTAAAAAATACTGTAAGAATCGACTCGCTAAAATTTCAATCTAAACTTTGTTCTTGATTTTGTCCTAAATAACTATTTTTCACAACTCATTTTAAAATGTCTTTTTACTGGTGCCAACAGGTGGCATGGTAGTCAAGACGCTGGATTCCCACGTAGTTAATCATGGTTCAAGCTCTGGACTTGGTGACTTGAAGATCATGCTGGGCACATATGTGTGGTGCTCAAAATCCTGAGAGGAGAATGGAGGAGAGGGGATTGCAGTGCAGCCATCTCCCCGGGAGATGATTTCTCTCTCTCTCTCTCTCTCTCGCTCCCTGGTGAACTCACAAGCCCTATGACACAAAAATCCTGGGATCAGCAGATGGCATAATGGTTATTTTACTGGACTCCCATATGGCCAACTGCAGTTTGAGTCCCAAACCAGGCAGCTTGAAACTCACATTGTGTGTGTGTGTGTGTGTGTGTGTGTGTGTGTGTGTTTATGCCCAAAATCCCAGAGGAGTATGGAGAAGAAGGGATTGTGGCATGGCCATCCCCCCGGGGGATAATTTCTTGCTTCCTGTCTTTCTATCTCTGTTTCTCTGATATTACACAAGCCCAAGCCCTATACCATAAAAATTTCTCAATAAACAAAAAAAAGTTTTTGCCTTAAATTAAGTTTTAGGCAATTAAGTTACATCTCTTTGGTTTTGAATTATTACATATAGTAGTAAACATGTAATTGGTATCATGTATATATACCTGAATTGTTTTTTTTTATGTAGCAGATTCCAGCACTGCGAAATAGTACTATTCTATTTGAGTCCGAGCAATATCTCTAGCATTTGATTAAACTGCTAAGGTTATTATAAAAGGGGCTGCAAAGGTTTTCTGAGGTCTTCTGCTTTGGAAGTGCCTTGTATTATTGTTTCTCAGTTCTACCTATACTGCAGAATAACCTGGGG